AACTGGCAGTGCTACATTTGCTACAAGTGCCTGCACTTCAGCGCCTGTCCATCTATCGCTGTTCCCCATACTTGCGAAATAAGTTGGCACAATGTTTACATGGCGTTTTAAATCATGGCGGGTGAGGGCGTTTTCTTACGCGTTTGGCCAATCAATGTCTACTTACGTCACGGGTAGTACCAGTTGTGCTGGTTAGACCCTGCTCTGGAGTAGGAGCTAATTTGGTTCTCCAAAAAGGCAGTCCGGTACTAAAATCGCACCCAGTTCCGGCGGTGCGAAAACGCCAAAAAGTGGGTAGTTCCACAATTAGTTCTGGTACTATGAAAAGGTTGCCGCGGTGCAAAAGGCCCTTATCACTCAGACTAGAACCTCCTCTACTAGGCAGGCCTATGCTCTGAAGTGGAGTCTGTTTGTTGATTGGTGTGCTTCTTGTTGAGAGGACCCCCAAAGATGCCTGGTCAGTGCTGTGCTTTCCTTCCTACAAGAAAAGTTGGAGCAGAGGCTGTCCTCCTCCCCTTAGAAAGTGTATGTCTCGGCCATTGTGGCAAATTCCAGTGCAGTGGATGGAAGATCCTTGGGGGGGGAAGCATGACCTGATGATCATATTGGTGTGAGATTAAATCCCACCAGATTGTGCCTCATGCCCTCTTGGTTTTTGCAGGACTACAGCGAACCCTCCTTTGAGCCATTTGACTCAATCAAGGTCAAGTCATTAAAGACAGTGCTCCTGGTTTTGCTCACATCCATCAAGAGGGTTGGGGAGCTTCAGGTATTGGCTGGCTGACTGGCATGTTTTACATTCACATGTGGATGTGTGTGCGCACCCCAGTGATTGCTCAATCAAGTATTGTGAGAATGTTGGAACACCTTTTTTGGCTTCCTAGTAAGCCCCTTGTAATTTGTTTTCCCTGAAGGAGGGAATTTTTCCCTCATGCAAGGGTGCAGAACAAGGGTTACATAATGTAACCAAGATGTGTTCATTGCAGAGAGGTGAAAATGGAGTACTCCGACATTTATGACTGAAAATATAACTATAAATATATCTCCTCTGTGTCTATCTATCTAGCTCTACCTGTGTGTATCTGTATGTATGTGTAGTTATATACAGTACATCTATATAAATGTGTAATTATAACAATAAAGGACAGTTGTATTATGTAGTGTTCTAAATGTGTCATTCAATGTGTTTGCATAGTTTGAGTGTATAATCATGGTGACATAAAACGTGTTAACTGTAATATTTAGTCTGATTTCTCCGTGTGTTCAGATCTTCTCGGGGCTGCTGGTGAATCTCCCCAGTGTGGCTGACTGGTTGAACTGGTTGAAGTATCTCAGTATTCCTCATTACGGTCTTGTTGTGAGTGTTAAAGTGTCCATGTTCTCCTGGAGTGTTTGATTTGCATGAAATGTAGAAAGTTTTGTATGTATATAGGAGTAGTGTACATGAATGTCGGTGGCAGTTGTAGTTATGTTAAGACAGTAGGTAAAAGCTGAGAAATATTTGTGTAGGTGTAGTATATTTTTTGTTATTAGTAAATTAATTCTAGGTTTATTGTTTTAGTGAACGATAATGTGTAGTTGTGGCTGATGATGAATGTGTTTGCAGGCTGTGGAAATCAATGAGTTCATTGGCCTCACCCTGTGTGACATGAGGAACACAAGTGGCCTAGAAATACAAGTGTGAGTATGCAGCTGCATATGAGTAGCATTTGTTACTTGAAATACATACTGCAGAAATAAAGTGTGTTTGAGAAATGGCCATGCGAGAGACTTGTTACTTGAAAAGAGCAATGTGAATGTAAAAAGAAGGGCATCTGAGGCAGTTTCATTTGTATTTCAGCTTTACTCAAGTATATTTGCAAGTCTGTATGTAGACATGTAAAAAGACAAATGCACAGAAAATTGTGAGAACAGAGTAAAAAGAACGTGAACGCAGAGAAGCTAAGAATGTAATGGAAAAGAAACTGAGCAAGAACTCGTATAAAGTGTCAATGCTACTAAAATAAGTGAGGCAATGAAACTCACCTGAGCGGCTAATCAAGGCCTTAATTTATGTGCGGGAAACAATAGCTGCATAGGAAGGCCAGGTGTGTGTGTGTTAGAGTAGGTTTGTGTGAAGTGCATGAGTTTCCAAGGCTGTAATGAGAAAAAGCAAATGTGTCCAAGACGTCCAAGCATCAAAGGATTACATGTGCATTGTTGTTGTGGGAGAAGAGCATAGCTGTAGAGCCTTTTCTGAAGTGCAGCATGAATGAAGCATCAGAGAGAAACATGGTGTTAGTGAAGAAGCAAGACTGAAAGGAAGAAGGGGAAAGTAGAGAGAGCAGACTCACAGAGATGTAGCGTGCTGTGCGTTGCTCGGTAGAGTCGCAGGTCTTTACACTCGTAGGTCTTCCCACTACTACATGCTTATTTTTCCTTCTGCAATTATTGAGTATATACACACACACGTAACTACTTTTGATCATGTTCTCATAATTTCTCATTGCAGCTGTTCAACAGGCGAGGACTTTCTGAGCGATCAGGGCATCGATTACTCAACCTGGGGTTTGTGGCAGAATCATTTGGCTCTGGGAATCATGACCCTCATCTTCCTCATCATCGCTTACCTCAAGCTGCGCTTTATCAAGAAATTCACCTAAACACAGGCTCATGCTCAAATCTCAAAGTCAAAGCACTATCAAACAACAAATATTAGGGCCTTTTGCACCGCGGGAACCTTTTCATAGTACCAGAACTAATTGTGGAACTACCCACTTTTTGGCGTTTTCGCACCGCCTGAACTGGGAGCGATTTTAGTACCGGACTGCCTTTTTCGAGAACCAAATTGGCTCCTACTCCGGAGCAGGGATGTAACGGTATGAAAATTTCATATCACAATTATAGTGACCAAAGTTATCACGGTTATCAATATTATCACGGTTTTGTTAAAATTTGATTAAAATGTTCAAAAATAACATACACTGAAAACATTTCAATAAGTTTTATATTTGAAAATCAACAAACAACAAACACAATTAGCAGCTGTATGCACTTTTTAGCATAAACATTAAATTAACATTAACATGAAGCCCTAATAATAAATCACTATATATATATATATATATATACACACACACACACACACAAACACACATTTTAAATGAACAAAATAAGTTGATGGGTCGGGTGACTACTACTGGAATACTTGATTCTGTTCTGCTGCATTTCCTTCCTTATAATGACTTGTCAATAGCAGCAACGCATTATAACACAGCACACATCCATGTCTCTTGTACAGAGGCGCGCGCTCTCGTTTCATTCAAATGCAGCTTGCCATCTTGCGTCTCAGTTTTTGATTGTATTGAAAATGAAATCATGAAATCA